GTTTTGGTTACACCAAAGTGGTTTCCTAACCCTAGTTGTTCATGATATACTTTCACTGTTTGCTTTACCAACTTTTGTGGCAAAATTAATTGTAGTTCTTCTTTTTCTTTCAGCCCTGATGGATGTTCAAATCTTCTGTATAGTAACCCGTTTTTGATGGTTAATGACTTGAACTGGTACCATAATGCCCTTGTTTTGCTGCCATATTCTGCTATCTCCTGGAAGCTGGGACGCTTCCCTTCTCTAACTGCTGTCATAATAGGCATTATATGTTCATCCAGTAGTTGTTCCCTGTTCCCTGGTAAGCCCATCTGGCATCACTGTGGTCCAATATGTATTCAGTGTTGCTTCTGTGATTCTTGTGTTTTTCCGTAACTCCACCAAACAAGTACCACAATCTACTGCACATGTCCTGCATGCACAAACTAAAACATCCTTATCTCTTTCTTCCAGTTTGTCGCATTTCTTGCAATCCCTGCAAGGCCTCCTGGACAAGGCATCGGCATGTCCTATGCTAGTGCCCTTGACGTGCACCACTTGGAACTTATATGGAGCTAACCTCTCCAACCACCTAGCCAGTTTACCAGTGGGATTCTTAAAATTCTTCAACCACTGTAACGCTGCATGGTCTGACTTCACTGTGAAAGGTGCTCCTGCCAGGTAATGATCGAATGTTTTAATGGCCTCTACCATTGCTAGTAACTCTCTGTGTGTTGCACAGTAGTTTCTTTGGGCTGCATTTAAAGTTTTTGACCAATATGCAATAGTGATATCCTTGTCATCTTGTCCCTGTTCCAGGGTAGCTCCCAGCCCCGTTAATGATGCGTCACAAGTAACTGTGAATGCACCCTTAGTAACGTCTGGTGTACCCAAAATTGGTGCTGTGGTTAGCTGTGTTTTTATTTTGTCAAATGCCTCTTGACATTCTGTGGTCCATTCGAACGGAACTCCTGCTTTTTGCAATCTAAAAATGGGTGTTGCTGTTGTAGCCATATGAGGTACATACTTAGAATAGTACTGCACCAGTCCCATCCAGAATTTTACTTCTTTTACATTTGTTGGTGCAGGCCAACTAACTATTTTCTCAATTTTGTTGCCATCAGTTTTGACTCCCTGTTCTGACAACCGGTGTCCCAAATATGCAACCTCTGGCTGGAACAGCTCACATTTCTTTGCTTTGAGCAGAAATCCTGCGGACCTTATTCTGTTAAACAATGCCACTTATTTTTGCAACATTTGTTCGAAATTGTCTCCTCCTATACAGATGTCATCCATATATACTGACACTGTATCCCCTAGGTCATTTTCCTCATTTTTCTCTTTTGCTGGGGTAATTATTCTGTCTGTTATGTACTGAAATGCACCAAGTGCTGCAGATAGACCAAAACTCAGCCTTGTAAATTCAAAATGTCTGTGTGACAGTCCCAATCCCTCTGGTAGGATGATGGCTGTCTTTGGCTGATCATCTGGGTGAATTTCCAAGTTATGGTATCCATGTGCCAAATCAAATGCATGATACATTTTCTTCCCTCCCATGTGCTGTAGTAAATCCTGTACTCTGGGAATAGGTGTTGCAGGCACCCTTGTGACTGCATTTAGAGCCCTGTAGTCTATACAGACCCTAACTTCCCCAGTTTTCTTCATAACACATAGGATAGG